TCTCTTATACCCTAAAGTGGGGTGTTTAAACAAAAGATGTTGAAAATGCATCTAGAATACTACACTACCTGAGATGGGGCATTCTGTCGGCATACGATAGCATGGCCTCCTGTCCTCAAGACATGATGGAAATAGACATCTTCATTTGAGGATGTATCACAAAGAAAAATGTTAAGGATTCCGTCTATATATTCATCCACCACTCCCACTAATGGCTTCAAACCACACAACTTCTGGAAGTGCAAAATGGCTTTGGATGTCCAGTGTTTCTGAAGTATAATCGAGATATAGTTATGTGATAGATTTAAACATGAATTACAGTAATCATACAAAAAATGAATTACTATGAGCTAGTTTTCAGTGGAAAAATAAAACCCTAAAAGTCTAGAATAACACATAAGATACTTATAATTTTTTAAAATATTAAAAAATGTTTTTATTTAGCTTTTGTACATTTCATACAACAGTTCTTAATCAAATTAAGACCCCCTCTCCCCCCATCCATGCTCCCCATACTCCCTCCCCACTGAGCCTCATGTATTCTGTGATACATGTTAAGTCCCATCCAGTCAAGCATTTTATCCAGATGTCCTTTGGTACAAGTTCATCCACTGGAGTCTATTCAGCTTATCCAGAGATCTTAAGGAAGGTCTACTACTCTCCCTCTTCAACAGCAATCAGTCTCCAACAGTTCTCAGGATAGGACCAGTCTGCCATCCATTTCCCCCATCCACACTGGTCTCTTGTCTAATTGAGTTGGCATGAGTCTTCTGCTCAATGCCACCGTTGCCACAAGTTCACTTGAGCAAGCTTCCGGTGGCCTGAAAACCTCTGTTTCCTTATGTTCATAGACTGACCTTGGCTCCTACAATTTTTCCTCCCCCTCTTCTGCAATGGTCCCTGAACTGTGAGTGAGGTTTAATATAGGAGTCCTATCCAATGACACACACTCTGCAGTCTCTTAGTCTCTAAAACTTATTTTTTATTTAATGTATGCGAGTATATTGCCTGCATTTAGGTAGGTGCAACCATGTTGTGCAATGCCTGCAGAGATCAGAAGAGGGCGTCGGATTCCCCTGAAACTGGAGTTACTGATGGCTATTAGCTGTTATACAGGTGTGGGAAAATGAACCCAGGTCCTCTGCAAGAGCAGCCAGTGCTCTTAACCACTAAGCCATCTCTCCAGCCCAAGATGTTTATAATTTTAAGATGAGAAAAATCAGAAGAAAAAAAAATGATTAAACAAATGTGACTATGAAAAAGCGCTATTTACAGGTTAGATGTCCATTGAGAGATGAATGGATAAAGAAAATGTATCATATATGAACAATGGGAGTTTTATTCAGCATAAAGAAGAATCATGAAGTCATTTCCAGAGGACCTGCATTTGAATCTCAGCGTTCATTCAAGCAGTTCATAACTGCCTGAGGTGAGAGGGAATCTCTAGGAGATCAGATGCCATCTTCTGGCCTCCATGAACACCTGCACGCATGTGACACACACTCACACAGATGCATATACATAAATAAAAGAAAAAAAGGGATGGAACTAAAATTGATCAATTAAGTGAATTAAGATAATCTCACAAAGAAAAGTATTGCATATTTTCCTTCATGTGTGGAATCTGGGAGTGGGCATAAAAACAAAAGGGGTAATATAGAGATGTGGAAAGTGAAAATGGGGGAAAGGGATATATATGTTTTATATATAAATATATTTATATATGTTTTCATAAATAAAAGAAAAAAAGGGATGGAACTAAAATTGATCAATTAAGTCAATTAAGATAATCTCACAAAGAAAAGTATTGCATATTTTCCTTCATGTGTGGAATCTGGGAGTGGGCATAAAAACAAAAGGGGTAATATAGAGATGTGGAAAGTGAAAATGGGGGA